TACGTACGTACGTACGTACGTACGTACGTACGTACGTACGTACGTACGTACGTACGTACGTACTACGTCTACTCGTCTCTCTCTCTCTCTCTCTCTCTCTCTCTCTCTCTCTCTCTCTCTCTCTCTCTCTCTCTCTCTCTCTCTCTCCTTGACCATCTCGGCGCGTCGCGTCGGGTCTCTGCAATTATACGATCGTTATTAATTAATCTCGGCCGCCCGATCAACTCCCCCAATTCTGAAGGACGCATGAGTACAATTCCGATCGCGCGATGCCGCACTCCGGGTCGCTTTGTGCTCTTATCTCAACGATTGAATTCTATGCGTTGATTGACACTCGAATTTCTATCGCGAGTTCGCGCGCGAAGAGAGATTCCGAGATTCTCCGTGTCTCTGTCACGGAAAATAATAGCGATGATGTCGGGTAGTAACGTCGCGGAGCGTCGAACAACAGCCACGTGTTGGGGTGGGTCAAAAGTTCACTCCGAGCTGCGATACACGCGCGCGCTTGCGTTATTACGTATTTTGCGTATTTGCGGGACGCGATAGAAAATTTCAGACGGTTGACAAACAACAACTCTTATAACGCGCGGCAAATCGCACCACGCTCGCGCCGCGCCGCGCCGCGTTGGGGCGGAAGGAAAAAAGAAATAGCGGGAGATCGATACGCACATCGTGAAACCCCTTAAAACGCTTCGCATCCTTCTCGTGCGTAAAACGCGCGGGCACGCAAAAGTCGTCGTCGTCGTTGTCGTCATCGCCGGGATCGATCGTCGGCAGCTTTCTTTCGTGAATGCCGGCGCGTGCCCGGGCGCGCGAAAAGAGAGTCCCGCCGGAAATCTCTCGGCTTCCCCGACGGGCCGGAAGAGCGGGAGGGGAAAAAAAATCACGCCAAATCATCCTCGCGCGTCTCTGAAAATGTCAAATCCACCCCTATGGAATCTGTGTTTCCATCTGTTTTTCCAGAGGGTCCTCGCCCCGCTCGGGCGTAAAATGGGAACGTAAGAACGCGCGCGGCACAACACACAAGGGCCTTGAATACCTCACCCTCAAGCCCGTCGACACTAACATCCCCCGCCGCCGTCACATCCGCCCATCCCCGGGCGCTTAGCGAGCAACGACCAAATGAGCACGCTCGGGATAAGTACAAACTGAGTAAAGCGAGAAGGAGAAGGAGGACGACATCGGCATCGGCCGATAAAATCGCCGGTTTCCGATCGATCCATGTTACTTGGCGATCGATGGAATGGGATCACGGGCGTACGCGTGGACGCCGCCTAATCGCAATTGACGGATCGATGTAACGCTCGTTGCACTCGCAGGCGAAGACAATCGTAGTTGTTTAATTAGTTACCGAATTAAGATAAATATAGATATATGTGAGAACAGATATATATATATATATATATATATATATATATA